AGAATTAATTTTCCACTCTCTACATAATGCTTGTGTGGGTGGTAATTCAAGAAAAATAAACCTCAAAATATGTGAAATGCCCGAAATGATCTCCATTCACTCGCTGTATGTGTGATATTTTGGCACCGAAAATTGCTTGTTTACTGCTAAGTAGGGAAATAATTAAGTACAATTCGTTGGTTAGATGGAAAGGACTAATGCGAGAATATAATCCTTGTCACATTTTGTTTTCACTCATTCACACAACTGCAAACTCTTTTTCTCTCTTTTCCAAGTGGATGAAAAGAATCCGTCCAATTGACAAAATTGCCGGAAATTCACACAAATCCTGGAATTCATGCTGAGCGTTAAGCGGGCTGTTATGAGGGAAAAAAGAGCTCAGGCACACAGAGAAAAAGCGTTGTCAATTGCAATTTCTTCTTCTCATCCGCCCCAGTGCAAAAGTGGGGTGGTTCTGTGGGTGGCGTAGAGCAAAAAAGTGACAGACATATAGAGAGCTTCTGGGTGAACGAATGAGTATGATGAGAGTAATCGTAAGTGTTTGGCAGAAAGGGAGTTTATGTTTGAAATGGGATACGCAATTATGTGTGGAATCGGTAGCATGATGGGTAAATAGTCGTTCATTTTGCCTGGGATAAAGTGTCTTGTCTCTCTATCATTTGCGTCTGTAAACATTTCCTTCCAAATAGCCTGTCTTCTCACCCCCTTTTCCGGAAAATTACTCAGAGCAGCTCGGAGGACGGGAAGCAGCTCCAGGTGCTTCTGCCGCTGAAGGGGATAATGCGAATAATTTGGAATTATATCCATAACGTTGGAGATGCCAAGCGGCAACCAAGCCACTGGTGTAATCCAGGGGAGATTCTTGGAAGAGTGTATTTGTGGTTGAATGAACTGAAATTGAGTTCTTGGATTTGTGTATGGACAATTTGAAGAAAGCAATCAACTTACATTGATACTGCAACTGATCCACCCATCACTACATCACCCGTCATTCTGAAAGCACTTGTGACAAAATGATGAGATTTTGTGAATCGTATCGCGAAAACCTATTTCTCAGTGTCAGAAAAAATCACCACCGCCAAATACTCTCACAAAGTGCAGAGACAGCAATTTAGACATGACACATCGGAAAAGAAAAATTGATCATTATGGTGAAACTTTCCAAGATATTGAGGGCATTAGTGTATCACATCACTCACCAAGAACATCCTCGAGAATGTTATCGAGTAATCAATACAAGAAGAGAGTGGTTACCTTGTGAAACACTCCAGTGTTAACGTTTGCCTCACACCCTTAATTCGTGAGGCAAAACCACCACAGAAATAGCATTTCTATTGACACCCACATGTGCTTTACTGATCATGTTCTTCCTGATTGAGATCCGCTGCACATTTTGCCAATATAGCTGTATCTTCACCGCAGGCGTTGTATAAAGTGACCACTTAAAGTCAATTTGAACCACAGAGGATTCATAGTACGACCACCTAGTCTCATAAGGCGTCATAAAATTACATGATTTCATTATTTTAGTTTGGAATTTGCACAGATTCTTGACAGAGTTCAAATAACCCAACAATTTATCCAGAACATGAAGGAACTACAAGAATTAACATTACCTATGTAAACACTCGCCAATCATCAGTTGCAGACTGAATCATGGCATTCTATCGATCCATATGTACGTAAAATTACGTTTAATTGGTTTCTTTGATTGAAGATAATGTATTCGGTCGAGTTATTCTCTATTACACCACAACTTCAAACCTAGCATATGGATAATTGTTTCCCAACCATTACATCAAGCAAGAGACATACCACTACTCAATAATGATAAGCCACAATCACAATTTCCTTGCTCCCAATTTTCATTATTGCCTAATTGACAGATTATGGAATATAAAAACTGCTTATTGCAAAATAATTAGAGACGATGAGTTGCAAAATGTAATAGAGCAACAATTAAAGTAGAGGGTGAAAATGGTTTGGCAGGTGGACTACATAAAGCCTAGAAGCATAGCTGTGATTGATATATGTCTATAAAAACAGCCTGCATGTACACGATGAGGTACGGGATGATTGTGCAGCATGTGCACATCAGTGAGATATTAATAAATTTTCCAGGCTGTTACGTGAAAATTAGACGTGGAGTTTTCTGATAGGAAGAATTTCCAACATTTGCGAGAATTTGACACACATTTCAATTATTACGGAGTGTCAGAGAGAAATTTTCAATTTGCACCAACGTGAGCATTTTGTGGTGGAGTGGGAGTGGAAAATCCATGTGGGAAATAGATCATTTTGAGAATGAGGAGTGCAAGAGTAGCGTCTATTTCAAAATCGCACAACTTCCACGTGAATTTTAGTTCACAGTTGCGGCTAAATTGGGGTGCAAGTTATCGATCCAATATGTACAGTGTTGAAGTTGTAATTACGCAGGGAAACTTTTGGCAATATTCCAGGTACATTTTGTTAAATCGCGCTGCAGCCACAAATCATCCGGAAATAAACCATCAGCAACTCTTTCGCGGCTCTGACTTTTCAAACTTTTCACAATACCCTAGCAAGTTTTGCCTCTTCTGGCAAATATGTAACTGCTAAAAAGCTCCACCCGGAAGGCCCTTTTCCATCTGTCTCTCAATAGGATGCAGTAAATAAATTTTCCGCTGTGAGACGAAAAGTCCCTTTTGAAAAATTATTTGGGAACACATAAAATACTTTGCAAGCTCGGAAGAGAAAGAGAAATGGTGAGCAGCACACAGGAAAAGAATCTGCATAATTTGATTTATAAATTTTAATAACAAGAAAAACAGAGTTTCCAGAAAAAAAAAACATTTTTTGGGTAAGAAAGCACACTTATACTTTGCTTGTGTGTGTGTGTGTTGCACGTATAAAAGAAAAGACGAGGAAAAATGAAGCAGAAAAAATTTCATTCTTCTCCACGAGCATCACCGCGGGTAGAAAATACCCCCAGCGTCGGGTAAACTTCTGTATTTTTAGGGGTTGAAAATTTCCAGGGAGAAAATTACACGACACTTAACATTTACCACCTGTTGTCTTTAAAATATATTACAGATACACATCACTTTTCTCCTCGCCCAAGTGCGCGGTTGGGGAACAGAAAAGCCCACCGGGGGGCGGGTGTTTACGGAATTTGAGGACTTCAGCATTGAGTTTCACTGGGCGGAAGAGCAACATCGCGTATCACAATAATATAAAATAAAATAGGTGATCCCGATTCTCTTCTATCCACCCTACTCAACCTCTTCCGCTGTAACTTCCGATCCTCTCATGAGAAAACAAACAAATTCACACAGGGCAAGGGAAAGCTCTCAAGTTCAAATCGAAAGCTCTCTGATGGAGATGACAGAAAAACAAAAATAATTTAATTTCGCAGCCAGAGGCCAAAAATTATAGTTTCCATGCGGGTTTCTCGCAAGACTTCATGCTCAGACAAACATCTGAGAATGTGTTAAAGGAACTACTCAACTTTTATTGGTCATCTCAAAGCATCAACCCGTCGAGAGATGTCCGAACAAGAGTGAACTGCTTTATCTCCCATCTGCAATCTGATAAAGTACACCATCTCTGTCTCGACGAAAATAACACCACACACTGCTGAATGAAAACAAGGGTCTGTGGTTAACTTGCCATGACACCCAAGACATCAAAAATTAGTGCGATAGTTGGAGAAGTTTCGGGGCATTTCTTTCTAAAAGTTGTGCTGTAACTGCATATTAAGTGATGAATTTGTTTAAGAAAATCCATAAAATTTGTGAGGAAGTGGGAACTAGAGACATTTTGTCCGCAATATGTATGTATAGTTCTCAGTATATGAAGCAGCACAGAAATAATATGATAAATTGAGTCAAACAGATAAAATAATAATAGAATTTAGTGTATGAATATTCACACATCTTGCGGTTTCCAAAATATACTATGCAGATTTATATCTGCATATTTGAAACAGCTTTCGAATTGTTTTTACCTAAAACAAGTAACGTTGTATCATGATCTGTTAGGCGTATTTTATTTAAACCTTTAAAGAATCTGTAAGCAAAGAAATTTGGTTCTATATAGCTAAATTATTTCACTCGAAAATAAATTTTTCTCAGCGACAAGTGGTTGCGTTTATAAATCGCCGAGATGGCGTAGAAAATGATGTTTGCTGAATGTATGTATGTGTAAAAGCTCTGTGTAATTTTCACCCTGTTTTGCACAGCGATGGATTCAAAGACGAACTGCGCCCAGTGAGATTTATGCGAGGGGGAGTGGAATAGATGGAGAATAGCGAAAAAGCGTTCGAAAAGGATTAATTTTCCGCCAAGAATTGGGTGAGAGGAAGCGCAATTAATTAAAATACAATCAATGGGAGTGTCTGGCATTTTGTAAATCATCCCAAATCACTTGAAGTATTTCACGGTGCACAAATATCTCTTAATTCTTCAGAAATTGCCAGAGAAAGCTTTGCGATCTCTCTTTGCTATATAAATCATTTAACCTTTTCTTCCGTCGTTTCTGTCTTTTTATGAGACTCGATACCTAATGAAACTCTGGATAATTGAAATAATTTGGTATCTTTGCTCTTTGAATGAGGATAATATAATGAATTCTTTCTCTAAATTCTCTATTTTTTTCTTTTGAGACTTCTCACTTTATATCAGTTCATGTTACATTGCCTTTGAAATTTCTTTTCGCGCATCGTGTCTTAAAATAGCGATACATATTATTTACTGCAAGAGGGCAAACTGGAAGTGAAGGAAATGAAAAGTAAAATTATAATATTAATTGAATAAATACGCACAAATGTGGCCGAGAGAATATTAATTTCGTCCAAGGAAAGGGTTTTCTTGTGATTTGTATTGTACGCATAAATAATCTTTTTCAATAAATTTGAATATGTTGATAAAAAGAAATCAAGATAAAGTTCATTTTCATGCAGTCTGACAAGGTGTAACACACTTCATAATTTTTAATTCTTCTTCCGTTTCTTGTCTTTGCAGGCAATTTTCACTTTATTTTTCTAATTAACTGAAATCCAATCCTGTGTTAATTGCAACACCGCAACGCTAAAAGTGTGTAAACGAGCAGAAGCCGACATCTTTTCAGTGTGACCCCATGAAGGCACATTTTCTGCGAAGTTATCATTAAAGAATAATCAGCGGCGGAAGACAATGTGACGATGAGAAAGAGGGAAGACAAAACGGAAAAATGGTATGTAAGAAACGTAAGAAAGTATAAAAGTTTAGTCTCTTCTGGCAAAGTTTCTCATTGAGTTCCTTTTAGAAAGAAAATGGTTTCGTGGTCGCCAACAAAACTCATCCTCTTCTGCTTCGCTCCATTATAAGTTGAATATCCTTTTTGTACCAGTTTCTTGCTAGGTTTTCCCATGAAGTACAAAAAACCTTGAGCCAGTTTAATAACAAGAATTTTACAAGGGATTGATTGACAATAAAATTAAATACTTAAGATTATTATTATTAGAACTGACTGACTTATCATGAAACTGCCCTGTTCTCTCTATGGGATATTAATGGGTCTCTTTAGCCTGAATGATTGAACAAGAGAACAAAGGAATATTCAATGGAATGGGTGTGGAAAATGATTTCACACCTATCCAGTCCATCACAGAGCGTAATTCAAGCCTCCTCAGCTATTATAATTAATATTTTTCCATTAACAAGGTTGGTGAACGTTGCTGAGATGCTATATAGAATTACTCAGAGGGTGTTGGAAATTAAATTTGAAATTTATCATTGGCCAAGATTGTAATTTATTTCCTAGCCACACTCTGCTAATGCACCTTATGCACTGGACTTGTTAGACACTCTATGTATGGTGAACTACTAATAAAATACTAAAAACTATGGCCATTTCCACCCTTGCACTTGCACGGGTCTTTCTAATGGAAACATAGAATGGTCGGGTAAAAGAAAGGTGGGTGGAAAAAATCGTTGACACGGGTTGTAAATTTAGAGGGAGAGATGAAAACACCATCTCTCTCCCATGAGACGGAAGGTATGTGAGTGGATTGTAAAAAATAGAATTTGATGGGAAAAGGGCCCTCGCTACTTTCAGAAGGTGAGGGTTTTCACCCCCTATGGCCATCGTCTAACATACAAGGTACAGTGGGAACTTGTATATTTTTCAGCTACGAACGCCGAAAATCCCCAAAATGCCCCGAAAGCTGGATTTTTCTCTCACAATCTCTTCTACTAAACTATCGAGACATGCTCTTTCTCCCCATGAGAAACTCTCGCCCAAAATTAACCTTTTTCTGCATGAAGTAACATTTGCCCATACAATATTCATGACACAACAAATAGAATATAATTTTTGTGCACATTCCATGAGGAGATTTTCGATGATGGAGTATGAATAACGAAAGCTCCCTTTTAAGATTTCTAGGAATTCTCCTACACAATCTCTTGCTCGACAATAATCACAAATGCACACAAAATTCATTTTCAAGTATACACATTAATAGAACCGAATTCCATAGAAATATATTGAAGGCATATGTACATTAGAAGACAATGCGAGAAAGATTACTGAGAAAGAACATTACTGTATTAAACATAGCACAGCCAAACTTCTAAGGACCTATCTCATGACTACGCAAAAAGTAATGTCGCTTTGTTTGTGCAATTATTTACAAGATTTCTAATGGTTCACTTTACATACAATTCTATTAGCTTTTAAAAGTTGCTCGTGGAAAGCACGTGCGCATTTTTCCACAACATCAGGGGAAATTGAGACAGAACAGAAAAGATAATAAATGGGTGAGAATTATTTCGTGACTTTGGAAAAGTTTTCACTTTTTAACTCACACAAAGAGATTTTCCTGTCTTCCTCTTTGTTTCTGCACACATCTTTTTTTTCTCTCTCAAAAGAATTAGAAAGAAAAGAAAATTAACTTAAGATTGTAGAGACGACGGCAGAGAAACTTGGGCGTGAGCTTTCAGGGCACGCGGAGGAAGCGAGAAAAAAGCCTGAGATAAATACCAACTTCCTGTGCAAGATTTCTGAATATATTCCCGACACTTTTTATTCATCCCTTTCTTCGTGAACCCACATCGTAGGCTTTTTTACAACGCATTTTCTCTCACTTTGCACACGCCTATCATTGATAAAAATTATGTTCGATGAAAAGGTGGGTTTGTATAGAAATTTGCCAAAAGCTTTATATGGATGTTGTGTGCTCTACTAGGCGGGAAAAGAGATAAGATTATCCCTTCGTAATGCTGAGATTACTTTATTTTGCTGACATAATCTGATTTATGGCGCTCAAATTGAAAGCGCGTGAAATATTTCTCAGGGCCGCCATCCCTATTATCTACGTGAAGATGTATCAAAGAAAACTGAGGATGGGCAGGAGTGTTCATGTGTGAGGGTTTCACCATTGAAAGCTCAAAAGTATAAGGGCACCTCGTGTGGGCGATGAGCTTTCGAGAGGGATGAGTGTTCATTGCAAGGAGAACGTTGGTGAGAGAGTTTTAAAGTCATTACGAAGAGTATAGCCAATAAATTCATACATAAATTTCATATAACACTCTACAATCCATTTTGACAGCTTATATGCTTCAATAATAGCTTCAACTTTCCCATAAAATCCCTTTGGGGGAAAAAGGTATATAGCGGAAGGGAGAGTGCAAGCGGAGAAAAGACAAAGAACCACAAATTGATTATGAGTTTACTCGATGAAAATGGGAAGTTTTTGCACCCATCTAAAACTGATATGAGAAAACTTTTCTAATTATCGAACGAATATATAGATATGAAGTTTGTTCTATCATTTATGCTTGGGATATTGCTATTAATTCAATGGGCGGCTCTTTGGTGTGAAAATTTCTTTGCGGTGACAGCTTTTTGAAAACAATTGCGGAAAAGTTACTTTTTTCACCACTCTCCATTTATATACACCTCTTCCGAGCGTCGCACTATGAATTGAGCAACAGGTAAAATGCCCATGAAAAGAATGTCACGAAAGGAAGTTGAAAACACGCCACAATTTGCTATGTTCTCCCCATTCGAAAGCTCTGAGGAGAGTGCATGTCGTGGGGGGACGAAAAAAAACGAGAGAGGCCACTTGAAGAATGAGATACTATATAATAAAAAAGTGGAATGTTGGCTAGAAAAGCGGGCAAAGTTTCTCCACTTCCTCTCATTCAACATCAACATTACATTAAAAGACAAACTGGCCACTCACCTAGCACAAGAAATGTGTAATTCATGAATATCGAAAGACGTGAGCACAAAAACCTTAGGAGTTAATTGAGCTGGGCGTAGCCCGGCTCAATTAAGGACCTAGATACTTTCGGCCCCAAGGGTCCAAATTTTAAAATTAAAAATTACCATAACATACCACCACAAAGTAGGCAATATTCTATATTCGTGGACATAAACCATACATGCACTCGGGGATGTGTGCTAACTTCAGTGTGTGGACATAACCACAAAACCTCAAAGTTGTCAGTTGTCAATGGAAAAGATTTTAGATTCTATGGTGCGAATATTCAAGCAATTGCAAGAGATAAATCTACAGATTCATCTCTAGACAATTGTCAATACATTGGAGTTAGCGTAAGTTTAAATAAGGGTGAAAGTGGTTGAATTGCATCACCAATTCTACGTTGAATTTTTCTCTCTGCCATCAGCAAACGTTCTCGGGATTTGACCAGGTATCAGCGCCAGTGATGTCCAGATTGCTCGCGATGGTGACGCACTTGGGGGCGTCGCAGATTGCATTCATTACCACCAGAGAGTCCACCAGATGCCGGTGATCACCGACACGAGTGTTACGAGTCTCGAGGGAGCGCTCAATGGCGAACTGATGAATGGCATGGACACGAGCCAGAAAGCCTCTGAGTCGTCCGTGAAACAGTGCATTATGTACAAAGTCACCGGTACTGCAAACGTCCTTGTTCACCTCGACGATGACGGACAATTCGGGCTCTGAGAGATGATCACGATTCCCTATATTTGGCGATCACGACGTCTCCCAACTCCTTGAACGCATGCTATCGAGATTTGGCGTTGCTGTAGCGCTTGTTGTGTGCCTATGGACTGCTGGTATGCAGCAACTAAGTCTGCATCAGGCACGTCCTCCCAAAAATTTTCCATACTTAGCTTTCTATCTCTCTCGATGCGTTTCACCGGGTTTTCTCGCTAAAATGTCAGTACGAGAATCAGGGTTGCCCAAACCAATTAAACTGGACGTAGCTCGGAACTTACGCGTTCGCTTATCACGTTCTTTGTAATTCAATTTTATTTATTGCGCGACATTTTACAGTGATTGCTTGTTTGTACATGTACATTCTATATATTATCTTAGTAAATAAGAAAAGTATTCAGGTAAGAAGCATAAAATTTCTGAAAAAGTAGTGCAATAATTGCAGATTACACAATCTTCACAAAAAGTATCTAAAACACTTTGCGATGAACATCTACTTGACCTGTGCAAAGCTTTCGCAATCTTTCTAAAGGGTGATATAAAGGACCTGGTTTCAGCATCTTACATTACATCCGGAAACCAGAGCAAATCTCAAAGTCAATTAAAGGCGAAAGACAAGGGAGACAGAATGGGTGGCGAAAGTACCACAAAATTAATAATTCACGAATAATTAAATATTTTAATCACTCCCATTGTCTACGCCTGAGGTGTTCTTTTTATGGTGCTTCCGTGAGAGGTGGATGATTAAAAATTTACCACCTTTTCCTTCCATTTCTCTGGCAACGCAGAAAGACACTGTGGCATTTTTTACGATTATACATCCTTCATCCACCCTTAATTTCCCTTCGTGTGCATTTTATTTCATTTTGAGGATATTAGAGCACGACGGGACGAGGAAAAAACAGGCGCGCGGGAAAATTGTGAGTAATATTTAAAGACTGTGTGTGTGTGTGTGTGAAAATTGGCGAAAGACGAGGATAAGATAAAAAGAAGAACAGCCGCATACTAAAAAAGAGAGGGAAAAACGACGAGGAAGGTAAAATATTGCGCGTGAAAATAATAATAATAATAAAGATGAGAGAAAATGTTTTTGCGTGAACGAGCATTGCAGAGTCAGCAAAGCTCAGGAGAAAGTATAATATGTGGAGGAATTCTTTTGGCTTTCTTATGCTTCTCAAATTAAATTTCTCACTCTCCATGAGTGTGTGTGAAATAATAGAATTTATTCTTATGGCCCTGTAGCACATGAAGCGTGAGGGAG